GACCCAGCTGTCGTTTTCGGTGTGCAGGAATTCGACAGCGTGGACGATGGCACCATCCTTCGCTAGGCGGTCGCGCCGGGCCTGAGAGACGCTGGGTGTGACCATGACGACGACATCGTGCTTTGTGCGAGTCTCCTCTTTGTGTACGAGCTGCCAGACGAGAATGCGGATAGCTTGGAAGTACTTGTCCTCCTCCAGATCATCGCCCGCATCAACGGTTCCGGAGAGAAAGGTGACGTAAGCTAGTCGCTCCTCTCTGTCGAGAGTAATGTTGGCGTTGACATAGGGCGGTGGTTGCGGTATTGGCTCCTTCTTTTCTTCTGATTTGGCGGCGCTGTCGCTTTTGTGACTTTTAAACTCCGGAATAGAAATGTGATCGAACGCGCGCGTTTCCACAGCGAGAAAAACAAATGTCGACACGATGACAAACGTCCCCAGCGCGATCCGGATCCATCGAGGGCTTGCAAAGATATTCCAAGAGCCGGAAGGCTTCATCCAGTTGGGCTTCGACCCAGACATGGACGCCATGGTGCTGGAGCAAAAGAACGACTGAATTCAAGCTTACCGGCAGGCAGCGACGCCCGCCGTATTTCAACCTCATCCCTTTCCACGCCGGTCCCGTAAGCCCAGCCGCATCCGGTTGGACAGCATATTATGCGAGGGGGCAAACCCGTCGAAAGGTAGGCTGCCTACCATGAGTCGCGGACACCCCGGCATATCTTGCGCTGTCCAGACCCTTGCGAACGCTGACAGGCTTGACAAGCAAAGCTTGGCGAGAATGCGATAGTTTGATTAGCTGTTAAGCATGCAGCGGAGATGATCGCCCCCGCCCCCTTGTCGGCGCAGTAAGACCAGCTCAGCCCTGTACGTCTGGGGACTTGCCCGTCGAGTATCGTGAACATAACGGGCCGAACGCTGACCTAACCAAGACTGCACAAGCAGAGTAGCCTCGGTGGAATGCGCAAATATTTCCTCCTTGGATGCGCCCTTGGAGGCCTTGGATAACCGTCCGAAAATGAAGAAATTGATGCGAGGCTCGTATCGCGTTTGATCTTTCGCTCGTTTGCCCAGAATAGCCGGGCTAGCAGCACTCGCGCCACACCTACTTAGGTACAATCCGCTATTTCGGGGCGCCTAACGACGCCAAATTAAAAACGCAAAGCTTACGGTCTGGAAACTTACAGAAAGACATGCTGTCGCAGTAACAGAAAACTTGTCATGCGCCGTCCGATCGTTCTTCGGAATGTTTCGATCAAACCTTGGAACTATTCGGCACCGACGGAACCATAGTACAGGTACACGAGCAGACTAATCTAGCAGGAGCACAGGCATGTGCACGCCTAGAAGGAGCAAGGTCTAATAAGATTATACGCATTTCTTTCCTGAAGAGTCTGACGGGATCGTCGGTGTAGGGCCGTTGCAGCCAGAGTACCCAAGACGGTGATTCGGCCAGATTTCGCCTGTGTCGCGCCGTGCTGCGGTATTGAACCTTGTCAATCTTCTAATCCGCTGGTAAGATTGCTGAATAATCGATGAAATACCGTTGGGGGTTCTAGTGTGGGAGTATACTAGGCGCACCGCGACGGCAGCGCACCGCTTCAATGCCATATCACGGCGGGTGTATGGTCGTACACATATCCGGGTATCGTTTCATCTCCTGCCATGCCTCACAAGAACGGTGTATGATCTCGCCTTGACCGCTGATGGACGGCGCAGCCACGTCGGTTACGCAAGCTACACGTTGTAGAGGTACGCCTGACCGGCGTTTACGCGGTATGCAGAAGCTTTCCAAGCCTTTGGGAAGAGTACATCTATGATGCACACGTCGAGCAATCCCTCAATTTGAACGGCTTTCGCATGACGCTACTTCTTGATGGTCTTGAGCTCTTCAATCGAGGTCATTCGACGGCTGTCGCGAGTACCTGTACCGGGTCTTCTCAACGAGGTAAGACTTTGCGTAGGATGCAACGCGGCAGAAGCAAACATTGTACCTCAATGGAGCTCAACCGGCATAGTCGTCGCATCTAGATTAGGGGGCGGAATTCCCTGGCGTTCTTGGACACCCCGAAGTCAAACATCAAACGTGTTTCTTCCCCCATTGTGAGCCCCTCCGTTGAGGTTGAGGCGTGGTAGTAGCCCCATCGCTCATCATAGCGGCATTCGATCGTTCGCCTTACACTGACATTTGACTGCAGCCAATGAGACGCAGATGCATACGTGTGACGTGGTATATCGCCGGGTCCGCGGAGCTGTATGATGTAGTCAATACAAAGCTGCAGGCCTAGGAAGATAAGGAGGCGAAGCAACTCCAAATCCTTCCGGGCGAAGTACAGGATGCAGACTAGGTACTCAAACACAGCACGTGTTTCAGCTTGATCGCAACATGCAACCCAACTCGTCAGCCTGGCGTCGAGCGCGATTTTACCGTCATTCGTGGAATCGTGTGAGATCAGTGGAGGCTGTGTACCTGTCGCGGTCGGCAAGGCGCCCGCATGCCAAGACCTCGCCTAGCTTCCCTCCTTCCTTCGAATCTGGCTGGACTCACGACTTGGGCACAACAGCCTTAGCGGCCTCAGCAAAACGCGCCCTCAGTGATGCCCACAGCCAGTCGCTCCGCCATGAGCTTCGCAATTTCAGCTGCGTCACTGAGTTGCTGCAAAGCACCCAGTCCAACGGTTTGCGTCGACGTCGCACCTTCTCCTCGAGCCTACCTCGGCAGTTAAGGGTCTCGCGTATCGACAGACACAAGCACGACCAACAGATTGCTTATTCATCCCTCGTCCCATGATATCACGTGCAAGGACGCCAAATGCAGTACTACCAACTTTCTAAAAGAAAAAGAGCCTACAATTACTTCGCAGGACTTCGAGCCACTTAAAGCTAAAGAGATGAAGTGGATAGATGGCGACATAGGTCTATCGCTTTCCGATAATCCACGTCCTTCACTTCGTTCAATCTAGAACCTATCGTCATCAAAGATGGACACTCACAATCTATTCAATTATCAAGGAAGACCGCTAGACGCCAGTCGACGAGACATTCGGTTACTACATCTCCACCCGTCTAGCACTGACCGCATAACAGCATCACTGGGTGTGAAGGATCTCGCAAGTGCGGCTGGAACTTTTGCATGCGTCTCTTATGTATGGGGTGATCCCAACGAGACGGTACCAATTGAAGTAGACGCCCAGGAAGTACAGATTACGACGAACCTTTTCGACTTCCTCTGTCACATCAGAGACCCAAAGGAGACTCTCACACTCTGGGCGGGTGCCATATGCATAAACCAAGCAGACCTGAACGAGAAATCGCATCAGGTGGCCATGATGGGGGACATCTACTCCGGATGTTCCGTTGTGCACATCTGGCTGGGTACAATACCAGATACTCTACCGTCAGGAACATCCCCTTTCGCCTGGATTGAGCATATGGCAGAGGGAAAGCATTGGCATACTCTCCCCGGCATTCTCGATGAGCAAGATGGAAAGCCCAGCGAAGAATTCAACAATCATCGACTCGCCTTCGATCTGATGACAAGCAACCCATGGTGGCAGCGAGCTTGGACCGTCCAAGAAGTCATTCTACCCAAATCCACCATCCTCTGGTACGGGACCTACCATACGACCTGGAACAGCTTCGCACAAGTGATCCGAAACCAAGACACGCGCGTCAAAAACTGCTGCCTGCCCAATACCCCAGAAACGAAGAAACACTGGCTCAAGACCACGGTCATTGATGTTTTCATGTGTGAGTATGAGACAATCAACTGGTTCCGAGAGTATTATCATGGCAGCATTGCGACTATACCTCTTCACACATCCACTATCGAGGGAGTCATGCCATTTAAAGAAACTCTGCTCTCCTTCTCGAAGCGACAGTGTCATGACCCCCGCGACAAAGTTTTTTCGATCTTGGCGCTAGCGCCACCGCGGATGTTCGAGAACTACAAACCGGATTACATGGCACCCTTAGCGGAGACCTGGACGGATGTATACCGACTAATGATAGACCACACTGCGGACGTTTCGGGGACTTTGCAAGGCAACGGGTTTGGGCCAAATAACGACGGTAGACCATCTTGGGTTCGCGATCTTGCCAATATACCCACGGACGCGATTCTTTTTGAGCGCCATAGGGTAGATCTTTCCGGAATGTACCTCTGCAGTGGCGAATCAGTGGGCACATTTATCTCAACCGACCTCTGGGAGCTGCATGTCAAAGCGCGAAGAGCCGATATCATCCGTCATGTGGGCGCAACTCATACTCATGAATCTGGTCCGAGGGCGATGGTAGCGAATATAAGACAGTGGTACAGATTGGCCATGGAGGCACTATCCTGCACCGACGAAGCGATTATCCGGAAGCCTTTTCAGCGCGCAATATGCGCGACGGTGCATGCCGTGGAGGATGGGTCCTCATGGCGCCGCAGTACAGATGAAGATCTGCCCAATCTTGAAGACTGGCAAAAGTTCCTGGATCTTGAGCCTGACGTGTCCCCGTTTCATACAACGTACCTAGCGCCGGTCTTCGTGGCCGCGGAGGATCGCTGCTTCTACATGACGGATAAGGGGAATATGGGGTTGGCGTACCCTGGAGTGAGGGCTGGAGATGAGGTTTGCGCCCTCATGGGGATACGGGTGCCGGTTGTACTGCGGAAGGCAGAGGTAGAGCATGATGATGGGAGTGTCTATCATTTCATAGGAGATTGCTTTCTACTCGATCACATGGATGGAGAGATCATGCAGAATGAGGAGGAGACGAAGCCGGTTGTCTTGATCTAACATCGCCACGATCGATAATCTGAGGGAACGCACAAGATTCAACAAGGTGAATCACTGACCCCAGACGGAGTGCGTCCCACATCACATGAAGTATGGAGTTCGCTACGAGACATTGAAGACCTGACTACCCGAGACGTGTGTCCAACCCACCTGCTGACCAATCTTAGAATCGTAGTTGTTGAACGTCGCATTCCTGTTATCCTGTTTCGGATGTCAGCGTTAGTCCAATGTCCGCATTGGCGTGAAGCTACTAGCCTCTGATTGCAAGGTCTCAATAACAGCTCGGTTGAGTTCCTTGTCTTGCAATGCTGCAATCTCTTTCAAAGCACGAAGACAGTCTCTGGAGCTGATGTCCGACACTTCCGTTCTGCACAGCCTGCGCTGTTCTTCGCGTGCCGCGGGGAATAACTGCACGAGATCGCTGACGAGATCCGTGATGTCTTCGATCAACCTCTTGAAATGCTTCTCTTCGTAAAGTGCCCACTGCACCTTTTGCCGTAACGGTGTACTGTTCTGGCGTTTGATCGATAGCGAGCGCATCTTCTCGTGTAGTAATTGGCCTACAGGCTCCATATCCGTGGCTGAGTCGAGAGTCGCAAGATTCCACTCGACTTCTCCAGAGTGGTTCTTGTACTTGGTCGAAATACCCTCAGCGTTTGCGAAGAGATCCAGTATCTGTGACAATACTCTCTCCGCCGCAGCCACATCTTCCGGCGGTCCTGTTGCTAGCCTGACATTGTGAGCGTTGCTGAAGTCGCTGTTCAAGCCAACAGATTCGCCCCAACGCGAAAGTCGCAGTCTTGCATTATCCAGCTTGAGCAGGCTAGTTTGGAAATTGGTACCGAAAGCACGGCCAAGTCGGATGTATTCGAAGCAGTCTATGGCGTTGTTAAATGTGCCTGCCAGGGCCACGATGCCGAGTGCAAGTCCGGCTGGTTCCATGGTGAGAGACAGCGAGAACGACACTGACGATGATAGAAGAAGAAATTCCTCGGGAAGGAAGGTTTGAAAGACCGCGATAACGCGGGAAGGCTCTGGTTTTCGTTGCTGCTCACGCGAGAGGCTGAACCGCTGCGTGTGGCCAGTGGCTGCATGACCTGCCTTCAGCCGCCCAGGAGTCTGCCTCGCAAAACAGCTTTCCTACTGTCTCAGTCCTGCCACGCGCACAATAGTCTCCTTAAGCCGAGATTTATTGCCCTACCTTTTTGCACTGCCTTTTTCGCGCTCTGGAATGTCGCCCTTCTTCGCTCTTGCTACTTAGCGGCCATGGGTCCACAGACACCTGCGCAGCCTGTCAGCTTCAACAACGACGGTGGGCGGTTCGCCATTCAGACGGCAGTGTACCAAAATCATGGTCAAACAATCGTGAAGTATGCGCACTGCTTCAAAAAGAAGAGAACCCCCTAAAGTTGCTGACGGTGCTGTAGTCAAACCTCGGCCGCCGAGCTTGAGCGACTGCCGCACGCCGCCGAAGCGCCCTTCAATGCGTATGTTAGGCAGCACGAGCCTTTCTGCCTTCCGGGTACACGAACAGCCCTCTTGAAAGAAATTTACGATTGGACCGATGCACAAGACGAGCGAGGTGTATACTGGTTGAGCGGCCTGGCTGGTTCTGGCAAGTCGACAATCGCGCGGACTGTGGCTCGTAGGCTCAATGACAGGAGTCGCCTAGGAGCCAGCTTTTTCTTCTGGAAAGGCTGCGGCAACGTTGGTCATGCGAGCAATTTCGTGACCAGCATCGCCGTTCAACTTGCGAGTCATGTCCCAGGAGTACGCCAGCATGTATGTGAAGTGGTTACGAAGTTTCCTAACATATCGAGCCTTTCGTTGCGCGACCAGTGGCGCCACCTCGTCGTCCAACCACTTTCCGCACTGGGAGATGCAGGTAACACAAGCTCTGTTGTTTTGGTTATCGATGCGCTGGACGAGTGCGATGACAATAACGATATCGGGAGGATCGTCAAGCTGTTGATCGAAGCCCGGGACCTGAGCGGACTACGACTCCGAATATTCCTGACGAGCAGGTTTGAAACAGCAATTCGGCACGGTTTCAACCGTGTGTCGAATGCACTGCTTCAGCGCTACGTGCTACATCGCATATCGCCCGACATAGTCGACGCTGACATATCGCTCTTCCTGGAGCAGAACCTCATGGCTGTTGGCCAGCAACAATACCTACCTGCGGACTGGCTCAGTCCAGAGACCGTCGCGACTATAACAAAGAAGGCTCACGGTCTCTTCATCTGGGCGGCGACAGCGTATAGATTCATCCAACAAGGAAGGCGGTTCGCGATTCAAAGACTGGAATCGATCATGAAACAGGACGGCGACAGTCCCGTCGGTCCCGAAGTACATCTCGACAATCTATATCTTACCGTTCTGCGAGACTCACTCTGTCCGGAGTATAGCGTCGAAGAGAAAAAGGAGCATTGCAAAATGCTGAGAGTTGTACTTGGGACGCTGGTAGTGCTGGAGTCACCTCTCAGCATGCAAGCGCTGGGTGAACTGCTAACCGTTGAGAAGGAAGCTGGAGGTATCGAGTCGATCATCCAAGACTTACATGCAATACTTGATATACCGGAAGATGAAACCGGAGCGCTCCGCCTTCACCATCCTTCGTTACGTGACTTCTTGCTCCATCGGCATCGATGTACAGATGTCAATTTTTTCGTAGAAGCAATTGAGGCACATCGTTTGCTGACATGCCAGATTCAGGACTTGATGATACGATACTTTGAACAAGACGAATGGAAAAACAGGACAGCCAGATCAAAACTTAGGGACAAGGTGTATAACAAGAGGCGTTGTCCTCTGGGAATGGAGTACGCATGCCGTAACTGGATTCGGCACCTGAAACGCAGCGGTTTCAATATCCCTCCTAAAGACGGAAAAGCTCGTAGCTTTCTCGATGAGCATGCAATCAACTGGGCAATAATGCTCACTCGTTGGGATGATGATCCCGAGCGCATTGGTCACATCTATGACCTCGAACAGCGCTTTTCTGTAAGTTTTGCGACTTTAAGATCTAGGCTCAAGCGCTCAATGGATCCAGATGGGTATTGAACCCCGCCTCTATGATCTCCTTTGGGGAAGACCGGTCGGTCGTTGGGCATTTGACCATACAGTGTTCTCGGTCTATCGTAGCGCACTCCCCTTCGTACACTACCCCTGGCTTTACCGTGTGCCCAAATCCGCATCACTAGCATCACTACATAAAACAAGCAGTAGGAGAATTTTATGAACTTCTTATCATGTGTCCTCAAAAATTGTACTGCCGTTTTGTCTGCGATCAATCGTACGATACGAGGATTGTTCGACCAGAGAGAGACCAGGAAGGACTGTTTTACTACCATGATTGTATGTAGACACATTCAATCAATAGACTGGCGTAGTAGACTATCCGCTACAGCAGGTTCAGATTGTACGTCAGCCATTCATCTTACTTATAGCAACGTTCATCATGGCCACGTGGGAAACAAAGATAACAAGTGCTTGTTCTTCACTTAGCAGCAATGTAGTAACACCATGAGTGAACACGCGTATGCACACGAGATGACAACTGTCGCTACTCCTCAGCATATCTAGGTGCTAGATAATACGCATTGATGATATGCTGACCAGAGCACAAATCAAGATATGATAGAACCTGAGTACTCATGATTCCCCTACAGTTTAATTATGCGCTTAGCCTCTTTTGTTCGCAGCTATCTGTTCAATCCATCGCCGACTTCTACATCACGTGCTAGGCCGGCCAGTGTAGTACGCATTCCACTTGTATTCCCTCTGATAACCTCGCACACCACTTACATATGCGACAAGTATACACAAACAGCATATGGAAACAGTAACACCCAACACACTGTGCCTCAAATGGATCCAAGCCGCCACCGTACCCCAGATTCGCACCAAAAACCCTCTGAACGAAGTCGAAACCAATGAGAGTGGAAAGCTGAATCATTCGTAGATTCTAACATTTTGATATCCAGACTAGCTGAGAAGATATATGCCCAACCACCGGTGGATGGCAGTAGGGTATCGTAGACCAAAACAAACAAAAAGCAAAAACAAGTTCGCGAAACCGCAAAACCGCAAAAAGCGCAACACAGACCAGACAAACTGTCGCCCAAAGTGATAAAGATATGCCTCCGACTCCCACATCCACATTATGCATATGCCCGCGGCGTCTTCGTATCATGATCGTACCGCGCCGTAGCCATTCATTTTCCACCTATCTCCTCGCATCACTCTCCCTCCGATTACTAGGCGCAATACTGCTCCCCCTCCTCATGCGATCACTAGGCGCAATGCTACTCGCCGCAATACTAACAACATCGCTCATGGAATCCTGATCGCGCTGGTAACTATACTGCATGCCCGAGTCGGGGCCTTTGAAGCCGTTGTCCCAAGCCGAGATGCGCGAAAGAAGCCTACACACCCAAATCAAAACGATTCTTTTTTGCACAACAGCGAGATACGCAATGTGCGATGTGGATGTAGATGTTGGTGTGCCCTTACCGATCGTCTGGCGGACCGTAGTATTCTTCTGGGATGAACTCGTAGTCGCCTTCGACGGGGAGGTAGAAAGCGGATACGGCGATGGCGACGGAGGTGAGGAAGAGGATGGTCCAGCTGGCGGTGCAGAGGGTCCACGAGAGGTCGAGGTGCCAGCCGGACCAGAAGCGCTCGTCGTGGTCGAAGAGGAAGGCCTGGGCGTGTGACTGTTAGCATGCTTTGCTTCTGCGATGGGGATGGGACCCTGCAGGAAGCAGGGAAAACGCGGGGAAAGACACGTACCACTATGGCCATGCCGGCGCACTGGACGATGGCGCTGAAGGAGAGGACGCCAACGGCGACTTGCCAGCCTGCGGCCCGGCGCTGGACTCCGCCTGAGATGATGACGATGAAGGAGACGATGGCGCATAGCTCGACGACGACGCCGAAGGAGGTCAGGAAACCGACTGTCCGCCACATGTTGCAGAAGGACGGGTCCTTTGCGCAGTCGCTCATCTTGGGGAAGGGGACACAGGTGCCCGTGACGGCGGAGCAGCGACTGTGTAGGCCGTACGAGTATTCGCGCTTGCCGTCGGGGCTATAGCTGACCCATCGCGGCATCGAGATACTGGCGATGGTCATGATGGTGCCTGCGCAGTCAGTCTCATTTTCCTTTGTAGCGGCATTATCATCGTCTCTTACAGGCCAGGGTGAGGATGAGGCCCACGCCATATACAATTTTTCGCGTCATGGTGGATGTGTAATTACTGTCTTAGCGGGTGGTGAGAAGTTTCGCCCCGAGTCTTTGATCGAATCGAGACGGTGGCGCAAAGGGAGGAGTTGCGGGGTTTATGATACGGCGGGATGCGCGATTAGGTGTGAGGCGTGCAGTTGCAGCGTGCGTGCAGGACGGAGAGGCTCTAACTCTAGGCGGCGGTTGAGTACAAAGGGTGGGTTGGCAGGCGCGACCGAGCGAATAGATAAACAGTCGCCAGGTGACTGAGGGCAGGCGCAGGTGCAGGGAGGACGGATTCAGCCAGGGCTACACGGGGTCAGAGCGACACCATGATATGGGTGGGAGTTGGCTGATGGGTGGGTGTGAAAAACGCTGCTCTCCCGTCTGGAATCGCGCTAGGAGGGGGAGGATCGTGGTATGGCGAGGCGTGTGCTCCATGACGACAGAGGCGCTTGGACGCCTTTCCCCACGCGCCCCTAGCTTCACTTCACCGCTAGGACTTTTCCTCGACACCACCTACTGATAGCGCATAGCGCGTTGTGGGTATAGCCAGTGTCACGGTGTTCACATTCTTATTTCAGGTATATACATTATACGACATGTCCCCTTCACCAAGCGAGCGCGAAGGATTCACAGACTTGGATGGCGCAAAATCTGCATCGCATTTCGGAAAAGCGGTGTCAAATCCCATGTTGAGCTTTGCGCCATGCTCCGATCGCCGATCATGTCGTGATGGACATGGCATGATCCTAGGCTCTGCTACTTCCTTGAAACTTAAACTTTTGTCAAGTCTTGTGAACTTCCCAGTATCCTCCGACTCCGAATCTTTGCGTGTCACAGGTACGAGGCATTTTTGGATGGGATGATGGATTGGCAGTTGCATACACTGATAAGGATCTGGTCACGCACACCAGCCACACCACCGATCAGCGTCAGCCCACCGGTATGCGAACTGTAGCGAACACGTGGGGCCGATGCGATATTCGAATGGTAAATCGCGGTACCAGCTGGACGCGAGTACAGCAATGGTCATTTGAAATTTGCCTCACCGCTTTAAGCCTCACGATTGATGTCGCCATGAAGCTATTCTTGCTGGGCTAGGGAGGCCTCGGTGATAAGAGGCGCTGAGCTAGGTAGTCGGCAAGCACCTAGTGGACGCACTCCGCACTGCAGCATCATGCAGCTACCATATTGGCCTGCATCTGTCATTGGACGATTAGTGCTGCAACGGCGCATGCCTCGCACGGAGGAGAGAGCGAATTGATAACGACGCACGTCGTTGAAGGCTATTGAACCACCTGCCAGTCTAAGGTTGGCATGTCCAGCCTGCAAGCTTACAATGGAGCTTTAAAAGTATACATATAGTACAGAGGACGTGTTCCTCGAATGGGTAACGGTCTAGAAGACAACGTTCTCGGGGTTTCGCTCAGGCTGTGTCCTCGGCTTCTGCAGCATCTCGTAGCAGAGTATCGACGCAGCAACGCTGACATTCAGACTGTCGACTCCGACCTCGTTGGCCTCGCGGCCATGGGGGATTCCGACCTTGTATCTCGCCAGGTTGACCAGACTGGTCTTCAATCCAGTGCCCTCAGCACCCATCATGAGGATTGTGGGGTGCTCGGCAACTGGGCTGTGGTCGGCGGGAAGACGTTTCCTGCCCTGCGAAATAGTGTAAACTACTTTGTTGGATCCAGGCTCGGGTGCGTCTTCGGTTGAAGAGAGACTTGGGGGCGCAGGCGGAATGGCGTCGCTCGCGTAGATGCACCACCCTGCACCCGCGCTCTTTTTTAGAAAGTCGGTTGGGTCTCCGACCTTGAAAAGCGGGATGGCCTCAGCGGCACCGGCCGAGGCCTTGACCGCGATGTGGCTCCAGTTTGCGGTATGGTGGGTCGGCGTGATGATGGCGTCCGCACCCAGGACATAGGCTGAGCGTGCAATAGCCCCAAGATTGCCTTCATCGACCTGTCTTTGTTAGCTATCATCTTATAGACGGTATTGTTGTACTTACTACTCCGTCCACGTAGAGGATCAGTGGGTGTCTCCACCCTCCAGATTTGTATGAGTATAGCTCTTGCTTGCCGTTGACGAGCAGGTCTTCAGCGCTTTGGCTATCAAGTGTGACCCTGAAGCTCTCATCCTCGAGAGAAGCCGTCTTCAGCTCGGTAATGGGAGGGACAGGCAGAGGCGATGCCTCGAGAATCACCCCGTTGTGAGGTCGACCACTACTTGCTTTGTCCAGAGCGCGCATATACTCATCTCCAACTTCTTGTGTGATTGGGAATAGTTTGTGCGACCTGATACGAGACATGAGGCCTTCTCTACTTGCACCTCGTGAGTGTACGTATAGGTTGTAGAATTTACGCCGGTCCGCCTTGATCGCAGCTACCACGCTCCCATACCCGTATACGAACTCTGAAGCGGCAGTCGTGTAAGGGAGTGACTCTGGTCCTCGCACGGAAGGCTTTTGCGTCTCCGCGCCGGCATCAGACGACTCTCGGCCATGGCGTTCTCTTCTGGCGCCCTTCGAATCCGGTCTGTGAGAGAATCGCGGTTCGAAAGAACGGTCATTTTCATCCCGAGCTCGCGGACTGTATGATGTCGCGTCATCACCCCTTTGGGAGAATCGTGCTTCAGTGACACCTTCGTCTGCTACATCGCGAGTGCGGGGCGTGTATGAAGGCGCCCTGTCGTCCCTCCAGTTTCTCTCTGGCCTCTGTTTCCGTGAGTCATTGCGATCATTTGTCCTATGTTTCCGTGAGTCGCTGCGATTATTTGGCATACGTGGCTGGGGCCTATAGCCATCCTCATAGCGTCGGAAAGTTTCTGGTGGGTGTATATCCCCGTTTCGTCTCCCTTCCGGATCAAGCCTGTGCGGAGATCGTTTTCTCTCGCCATACAATCGCTCATATTGTTTTTGTGCCTCGCTGGGGCGGTGCGAGCCCTGCTCGGCTCCCGTTCCACGCGCATCTCTTCCAAAGCTGCTTTGTCGCTCTCGTTGAAACCCGCCTTGTCGTTCTCTTCCCAGATCACTTGATCGTTCTCTTCCAAAACCATTCGATCGATCTCTTCCAAAGCCGCTCGGTCGCTCTTCCTTGGACCGACTCGGCGCATCGTCATCGCGGGGTATACGTCCGAATCTGCTACTGCGAGGTGCTACAGTCGAGCGATCACCGAATCTTGGTTCTGGATCGTCACGAGGAGGACCAAATTTCTCGAACCGTGCCTCACGGCGAGTCTCACGGCGATTCTTCACCGGTTCATCTCTTTCGTCGTTGCGGTCGTTTCGTGTCCGCGGTCGGAAGGGTCGATCTGGTCCACCTTGCCTGCCCCTCTCGATGGCGGCAGTAATGGATTTGTAGCGGAGGAAGGTGCGTGGGCTGACCAATTGGCGTGAGCGCAGTAGCGTACTACTAGAGAGGCAGGAATAAACCATAACAAGGTCAATTTGGCAGGCGTGGTGGATTTCGAGACTTGACTCGTAACCAGCGCAAAAGCGATGCGACAAAAAGTTCCTGATTGCCAAGCCAGGCGTTCGCACTAAGATGGCAAGCGCGGGACGCGAAGTCACGCGTCTGGCGTTTGGGCGCTATCATCGTTTACCGAGACGCGACGGAAACTACGGTACAGCAGCGCGCCTGCATCCCCATTCCCCACTCATCCCGCATTTCAAAGCTGTACATTGTACCTGCCAAGGATATCGAACCTTGTCCTGGTTCATTTCCGCACCCCTCGACCGA